AGATAACATATACCAATATAAAACGGATAAAAATGACAGTCGCATATACGTCCTATGAACAAAGTAACAATTAGAAAGGCTTCGGTAGCGACGAGGGGTGGGGATGAAGCCGACGGCATCGGCATCGCAATAGGGGACAAAACAAAGTATCCAATTTCTCCACTTCCCCACTTCCGACGCAATTACGACACAATATTGTGGGGCTGTGGCGGCTCGCTCCGACCGCAGCCTGACTGAAATCTAGGCACCGGTGCAATCTCGTTACGGAACATAAAATACACTCTCATTGTTCGCCTTAGATTTTTTCGCAAGACCTATTCAAACAAAGAAACCTGTGTACCACCACTTAAATGCCGCCATAAAATCTACAGGTGGTTTCTTTTCCGCTCGGTGGTCATATTGTTTGATGTGCAATGCTCCGTAAAACATAAATTTATCATCGTCATGTTGAGAGGATAGCGTCAGTGTATAGAGAGTAATTGATCTAGAAAATTGCTCGCCATAAATCATAATCATTTTGAGTGAACAGCGGTCGAGATATCAGAACTATCAAGCATTTCAAATAAACCGAGGGTTGACTCCCTAAAAACACGTCGTATATCATATTGCCAAATTAATACATTAGTTTACAAGCCATCCAAATAAACAAAGTAAATTTGAATTGTAATTACTTTATTTGCATTTAGATACATTCAACTCGGATAAGATCATATTATACGTTACTGTAAAATATGTTTCTATTTATATAAAGTCAAAGTTGACTAAGCTGTATCAGAAATTAGCTACAAATTAACCCAAATATTAAATTATCTGCTCTTATTTCCTATGAATGTTGCGACACAATCTCTTAGTTCTACAAGGGCACAACAATAAAAGGCTCTAATATTTACAAAACAAGAAAAGTGCTGTTGAGTAACACAAAAGCTCTTATCGCCCAAAGCGCTGCGATCCATTAAAGACACTTTACAAAGATTTGAGGGCGCAAATGTTACTATGAAAGCCAGAATTTGTAGACCTCCCCTGACGTTGATGCCTTTTTACCGAGCAGACAGAATAAACAGCACGTACTGTCTCTTATATATCACGTTAAACTGGTTAAACATAGGCACTCAGCTTTCAAACCAAACACTCGTCGCGTCATAATCATGTGACCGTGTACATAAAGAAAACAGACACTTGAGGCGTGCCAATCAATCGTTCGCCAAAATACTGCAACACATTGTCATTAGACCATGAGATGACACAATTTAATATGCAATACATTTATTATTCACAAGCAAAATATCCTATCCAATAATCATGCCCAGTAATGCGACGTTTTTGTTAAGGATACACAGATCCAATACAGTAATTTTTATAAATATTATAATATTAACAATTATAAATATTTACAAAATATCCCTACTACACCTAAACGAGTCTCTAGTTGATGACACGTCCAGTCTGTTGGTTTTCCCCATTTGTCCAATCAGTTTCACGGTTCATTTATAAATAGACAGATTTGTCTTTAAATATATAATTCAGTCTTCATATTTTTAACATCAGAATAACACCACAAATATAAAGAACATTTTAAGTGAAATTTAAATGTTTTCGGGTTATTAACGTTTGTTCTTAACATTGTTCACAAAAATATATTTTAGATTTAATTGTCCTGTCTGTGAAGTTGGAGCAAATAATACATTACAAAATTTAAAATTACAAAGTTTCTGAGATTAATCTGACCGAATATCACGACAAGGGATTTTTTATAATAATATGATTAAACAATAATCAATTAACCAGGAAGATATCGTATTTCTACATATAATTTTCTTAATTCAGACGCAATATTATAATACTCGTATAATATGACATGTTCATCAATGTACACGTAATTTTTTTTATATATTAGATATTTATTGTTAAAACATACAATTAATTAGGCAAAATAAAGAAATCTCCAGTGTACATTCACCATTCCGCCTGTTTGAACGGATAAGTAAAAACTGATCTTAAGAAAGATTGAAAAAAAAAGCGTATTAGAAACATCGAAAACTACGACCCGAATATATAATAAAGAACATAATTATTATTCAATCCTTTATCAGACCAGTGTCGCCAACTGTATTTAGATCGTACATTATTACAAATCCTTAAAAGATTTAACCTTGTGATATTTCAGCGACATTTTATCCTGTCTACCTACTTGTGAGTCACGAACTTATTGTCTACCCAAAACATATTATAATCAAGGCCAAAGCGGACAGCGGAAACTCAAATATTATGTGTACAGTGAACCTGTAATATATTGCTTTATAATAATTATTACAGGTGACGTTAATATTCCATTTACTTTTTATTTCCTACCATAATACTGATGGTTTTATTACAGTAGGTTCATTAAAAGTTTCTCCGAGAAAAGTTAAACATTATTTACTGGATTCATTCTAAATTCAATTTGAAATCTAAATACAATATAGATCCAATTTTATTTATTTATTTTATTTAAACATTACCAGACTTCAAATTAAAAGTAATCTTCATGTCAACTTTGAAATGGAAAATACTTAGCGATAATAGATACGGATGAAGGACTAGTTACGCTTATACTATATACGCTTTGCTTTATATTATATATTATATACAAATTCTTAAATAAATCATACTTAGATAATTAGTAATTAACAACTAAAACAATATTAGGAGCCAACTCGCCTATACCCAGATTTCAATGATCTGATATACATCAATTTTATATACAACTTATTACCTTAACTTACAACTTACCCTCTATATACGAGTACAACTTATTAAAAAAGTCTTAGACATAAGCTCTTAAACTGTTTACTGCTTGGTTAGTTATCCATCTATAGTTATAAATCTGTAGAGATTTTAACGAAACTTGGTACAATTATTCTTCATACTCCTAGACAGGTTATAGTATACTTTTCATCACGATACGATCAATAGGAGCAGAGCAGTGAAGGGAAATGTTGGGAAAACGAGAGAAGTTACTCCATTTTTAAGATTCCGTAGCGTGTGCAACCACTTTTTAAAATGCAAAAATGTCCACCCGTGCGACACTGGAACGGACCACTAGTTATTAATAAGTGCGAATATTGTGTTCGTCTGTAAAAGACTTACATTCATCGTCATCATCATCATATCAGCCGTTAACTACCCATTGCTAAACGTAAGCCACTTCCTATTGCGAGATTTTATCCGTAGTTGCCACGCTTGACAGACAATAATACAATAAAATCAACATAGTCCATTAATATAATACATTCGAAACCTTCGTCATTACAAGGAAAAACTATTTTATTACATACATATTAAATATATATTAATCCTTTCATATGTTAAATATAACACAAAATCATTCAGCCGTTAGGCGAGCCAATCACTCGGCCTAAACTTCAGATCCCATAATCATGGCAAAATTTATAAATAAAGCTGAACCTGAACGCACACACTAACAACACCTATAAATGTGTTGTTTATGTGTGTATCATATTGTGATGAATTTGCCGTAGGGATCTTTTCATATTATCGCGGTGAAAAACAAGCATAAAGCCCACCTTATGATAATACAAGTAGTAACTGATTAAATTAATCACACACAGGAAGTTTACAGTGGTGTGAATATATTTTTTATTCTGTGTTATTTTTTACTTACCTGTGGCACAGATAATATATTACTATTCTTTTTAAAACTTTACATTGTTTGTTCAAACACTCAACCGGCATATATAACTTCACTATGCCAATATACAAATACAAATAGAACATTTAAACAAGTGTTACTATTTTACTTATTTGCCACGACGTTTCGAATAATGCGTGATTTGATAGCTGTTTTTGATTGTGCATTTACATTTACCGATTTCTTAATTTATAGGAGAAAAATATCATTTTTACGTCCAATAAAAATTTTAGACATGCGATCACAAGCAATAAAACCCACTTATATTAATAGGAGAATAGGATTAGAAACATAGACAAAATCCGAGTCGAGGATCGAATTCACGGTAATGCCTTAAGTCTATAGTCTTATTAGTGGGCATACATTGGTCATAAGTTACTTCTAAATCCTTCTCGCAGTTCACGCACCTTAGCACTCACCTGCTGCAGATACGTTCGGTGAAAAAATAAGGTTAGTAGGTAACAGTGCCAAGATTATTATTATCCTTAAGGTGCGAGTGGATCTCGTTCCGGAACCTTGCAATCATGGGCGTACTTATAATACCATCGAGATATTGTTTGCTATGACCATTTATTACTTTTTTGCAATAGACAAAAAAATAAAATTATAATTATAAAAAATAAACACGTTCAGGCTTTTATATTTGTCTATAACTCGTAAAAATTTAAGAAGTAATAGATAATATGTACCTCTCTCAGGTCCTTAGTATAAATGATACTTTTAATACCAGTGATAGGCGATTTTAAAACAATGTAGATATTGCATTCCATTCAGCGATTCGGTTACTGTATCGCTCGTTTTAGCGGCCGTTGTATCCAAATCGAACATTTTAACGACCATTTTGCCTATCACTTTGGCAACTTGCTATAAAGTAGGTTCCAATTCGACAGTATTGTATATGTGTACATAATAATTGGTATATCTCATACCGGTTGCCAGAGTTAACATTTTAGTTACCAGAGGGAGACTTTGTACAAAAGTCGATTGCTTGGGTACCTCTGTCCTATTCGTGTTTCAACCGTGAAGCAGCTGTGTTTGCATGGCTGTGTTTCGGTTTAAAGGGTGGGATATGGCGTAAATTTACAGGGTACAGAGGAATAACATTTGAGTCCTCAGGAATGGCAACGCATGGGGGGTATCATGGGCGAAACAGTATACTCTGTTATGTCCATGGTACTGCTCATGTCTATAGACGACGGTTACCACTTTCCATCAGGTGGACCGTCAGCTTGTTTGCCATTCTAAGTTGTATAAAAAAAAATTATTAAAATAGCTATTTCCTTTTCGAACAAACTCTTAATTTATCACGTACCTGGATCGATTGCCAGTTGTCTGTAAACGGCGAGTGCAACATCATCTTCGCTCACAAAGTCCCAGAGTCCATCGCATGCCACTACGACGAAGTCTTCATCACCGTCCAAGTCCACAGTTGCGATTTCTGGACGAGCAATCACGTACGGCTTGTACTGGGCGTCACCTGTTACAATCAAAATTACTATTATCATTGTGGTTTCTTCCGACGTACTATAATAAATAAATATATATATAAATCCAGCGACTTTATGTGAATGAGGGTAAGGTGTGTATGAATGTGTTTTTAGGACGAGACTATAATGATAAACGAGTATATATGATAGTAAGTACATTTTAGTATAAACACTAGGTCACATATCGTCATAGTCGTAGAATACTGACGGATCTTTATATGTAATCTTTGTCAGATCCGTCAGTATTCTACGACTATGAGGATATATCTAAGTCATAAAAGATATTGTAAAACTAACAAAATATATAATAATTTTACATTATTACATTTTGGTTTTCACCCTCTCGACTTAATACATACCCCGTCCTGTAACCTACAGGAAAAACGGTGCATATGCCCCAGTTGTCTTTTTTTTTATTATGTCCGTCTTCTACCTAGCCTTCTCTTTTGAGTGTAGTCGTGTACTGAATTTGTGTGAGTGATTTTGTGTTTGGTGTATGAATTGTGTTGGATGGCCCTGGTGTGTTTGTTGAGTGTTGTGTGTTAGTTGCCTGTTGGGTGGTTGGTGACTGGTGTGTCTTGAGTGTGATTATTTTATGTATTTTGTACGAATACAGTATCTCCTAACACTTTGCTGAGTATGGTTGATGTGTAAATGGCTGCTTGTTTTTGTAAGATGCTGATGTCAATGTTGGTATTTAATTTATTTATGTAGTTTTTAATATTTTTAGCTACTATTCCTGTTGCGCCTATTACTATCGGGATAATAATCGTTTGTGTGTTCCACAAACGACTGACTTTAGTTTTTAGATGGTGGTATTAAGTTAGCTTTTAAATTTTCTTAACTCCTATACAAAACTATATTATATTATACAAACTATTATTATATTATGCCTATGCCTATGTTTAATATCTGTATGCATGTATATGATAACACGAATTCTGTTTCCTACAGTACAGGCTCAGCCTAGTATGGGAATCAATGATAAATTCTGTGCTAATACAAACATACTTTGTTAAATAAATATATCTTTATCTTATCTTATTATTAAATTATACATTAATTAATAAAATACCAATTTAAATCATTCCATTACATTTTTTTATTATATATAAAGGTGCATCAATAGCTTCATAAATTGATAAACCATTATTTGATCCTATATAGATATTCGATAACATCCAGTTATGTAAGCTGACCTTCGGCACCCCCAGTCTATCCTGCCAACCCAAGCCTTGAAAATATATTGATTTTATTTATTTATCTTTCTCCCCCTATACCGTTATCCCAGCGACTTTCATGATCGCTACGTAATGTATGATACGGTGAGTGTGCTGTACCTTGCTACCTGAGAATGTACTCGTATATCCGTTTCCGTCTTTTTTTATAAATATCCTTTTGGAAAGTTCCACACGATATATTCATAATAACAACGGTTTTTATACATATTACACTAGTATTTACCCGCGATCACGTCTGCGTGACTAGCGGGTCTGCCATTAAATAAAATTTCGAAATTTCGGACCCAATTTCGTGTTTTTGTTTATACCAAAATCGGACCAATAAATGGAGTTTAACATTTCGTTCGTCATACATCTTATCATAAAAGTCCAAAGGTATAATATTTTAACATTTTTAATATTTCCAAACGGCATGTATTATGTAATTTTGACATCAAATTTGTGTTTCGTTTGACTCCGAAATTTCGGAAAACATTTCATGGTAGGCCCTCATAATATATTCATTAATCGGGATAAAAAAAATAGCTCACATTTTTCTCCATCTCAAATATTACGTGTATGCCAAGTTTCTTGACGACTGAACCGTAAGTCTCAAGAGGTAACAAATAACAAACTCACAAGTATAAAACTTATAATATTAGTAAGGATTTCTGATATATATATATATATATATATATATATATATATATATGTTTACTTCTCAATTTAGCACAGTGTCTATATCACTTAAGATTATTATCAAGCGACTTCAAAAAGAAAATTTTTGAATTTGACTATACTTTTGTGCGTGTTACAATACGAGTATATCTTCGCCAATTCTGAACTGCTATGTTGATCACATACTATTTTGATCGAGATTAAAGTAGATCGACTGAATCGAAATTATTTACGGAATGTTACTAATGAGTAAAGATAGAGTTGTGCAAGATAGCGGCCAATCTCTCTAGGCGGATTATTTATTATTTTACCCATCAAAAATACTGGAAATAATTATTAATAAAATTAAAATGAATATTATTTAAATATATTATTACAGTTAAGTCCATGTTCATAGTAAATTTACAAATTACATTTATATTTGTTATTCAAAATGCGATATAAATATATTGTGTGACCGAATTACCAGAATAACAATAAGCTGCTGGTCATGACATAATTGGTTACTCACACCAGAGACTATATATAAATAGTAGAATATATAAGTTTTGACGTTTGTATGAATAGATACAAACGTCCAAGGCCTTGCGACTTTTTATTTTCTAGTTTTAACATAAGTTGTTTTACTGAAACTAGTTTTAGCGAACATTTTTAATGGGTGAAGTTACATAAAATAAAAAATGACGCGCGATCATATTATTAATCACACATGAGATTAAATTTAACTTTCTTTTTAAAATATAGCAATTTATTTAAATACGAAACTCGTGTATTATTTATACTTTAATATTAATTTTGTAAAGTTTAATTTTGCATATTTTAGTAAAATGCGATTTAAATTAATGACATAATGTAGGTACAATAAAATTAGTAATGATTTCCTGAATTAATTTTTATTTTTATTCAAATTTGTTTTTTATAAGTTAAAGTTTCTGAATTTACAAATTCAATTGTAAATCGGCGTTATCACGAGTATTTATTTATTTATTTGATCAACTGGCTGAGGTTTACAGTCTCCCAATAAGCTCACATAGGAAAGCATCAGTACAATAACAAATATTGCTAAACTATAAATAGCAATAAGAATAAATACTATATAAATAATAATAGAAATAAAATTTTATATTTTAATTATGTGATTACAAACACTCAATGGCCATCTAACGAAACTCCAGCATATAAAAATAATTTAAAACAGTACATCATCATCATCCAGCAATCACTGTCTCATACGTGTTTCTCCCCCCATAAGGAAGGATATCAAATTAGCCTATTATTATCACGTCGTTCACGCTTGGTGCACGGTATTTATTTCGACTTTTCCTTCTGTTGCACTAGTATGTCTAGTAGTTAATCTTCTTACAAAACCCCAAAGATAAAATAGATTGGTGTTATATTTCTCCGTTATTACATGCAAAATAAATACAGTACTGATACTTAGATAGTACTCTAATGAAATTTCAATATCTACTCAACTAGTGTAAAAATAGTCTTAAAACATTTTTTTACAATAAAGGACTAAATGTACTCTACTCTAAAAATTTGTACTCTAATCTCCATGAAACTTCATGATGGATTTTTTTTTATAACAATTATTTTTTAAAATATTTTTTCATGTACAACATTGAATGACAAACTTTTTGCTACGGAAAATTACAACAACAGTTGGCTTCTAAAGTGAGCAGAAAATATCAGTAAAAGGATTCTTAATTTAAAAAATAAATATCCCGAAATCACTCTAATGTCATTTTAAATCTAGAGACCTACAATTTAGTCGATTACTAAAGTTTTGTCTCGCTCTATTACAAAAGCATTCTAATATTTACCACAAAAAAAAAAAAAACTAACTGTACGAATATTAAGTGGATTAGTACCTGCGTAGTATGGTATTCCACATAAAGTAACAGTATCAGTATCAGGTCTAATCTTGCATGAAAGCTCGAGTGTAAACCCCGAGATTGTAGGGGAGTTTGGGCAAACATTTCCGAACTTAATCTTCCGTGGAACGTAAAATCGATGAATTTTGTTCTCAATACGTGAGGGATAAAGAACCGTCTCGGTTTCGGAAAGCTGCGAAGAAAATGTCAACATTACATTGTAACTGAGCCGTCAATGTCGATGCGTATCTAAATAGTGCTGTACACATAACTGTATCGATTAATGATATCTTTTAAGTGCCTAAAGATAATGTTAAAAAAAATACTAATATTAAATTCACGTTAGTGTTTTATTTATGATATTAATAATATATATGTGAAACAGATGTAAATTTAAAAACACAATTAGTTGCTCAGTCAAATATAATAATATATTATTTTTAACTCAATCAGTATGTTATTAGCAACGTGAAAGAAGATCCTTTCTATAAAAAAAAAATACACGACAGGCATCTTAATATAAAATTATGTCACCTATGATGGCCAGCATTATACTTCCAACAGAAAGTTTTCAAAGATGTTCGGATTGTTTGTTATACAATCAAAGAATCATACAGATGTATTAAGATCTGAAGAATCCACTTTTCGAATTGTATTCAATATATACGACACTTTTTATCTTTAATTACGAACAAAGCTGCTGATTACTGCTAATGATTAATTAATAAGATTACATCACGAATTCTTGTGCTATAAAAAATATTATTTTAAAAGTCTGCCTTCATTTTATTTAATAAGCAGAGAAAGATTGAAAAATTAAACGAAACTAAGTTCTTTCTTTCTATTATTACGTTCATTAATCTTTAAACGTAAAAATATATTATAAATATAAATATTCCGTGCAAAAGGCATGACATTTTTTTTTCTAAATAATATATTCGAATGACAGTGCCTGCATAAACAGATGCAAATCAGCAATTACTATGCATAGGGATATTTTGTAAAGATGTTTAGAAATATGTTCTCATTTAAAAATATGTTAACATCCGAACGTGACTCAATCACGCTTTTTGTTTAGAAGAATTGTAATGAAATTTGGTACCTACACAGATAGACTATATCTAGGACTAAAACATATAACACTTTTTATCCTGGTACACGCGAGATAAGCTACAAAATACACTATATTGCAAATAGATACTTTTATACTCATTT